TCTCTCTCTCTCTCTCTCTCTCTCTCTCTCTCTCTCTCTCTCTCTCTTCTTTCTTCACGTCTCCCTCGGTCTCTGACTGTCCTCGTCGTTCTTGCGCGCCGAGAGACCAGGCAGATGCCCGTGCTTCAGCCGGCCGGAAACACCTACGCATCATGGTAGCATGCGAGGTAGCGATGGACAGCGATGGGGACGAACCTCTCGCGATTAAAGTTAGAATGGGTAGAATTGTTCACCATTTGGATGCTTGGTAAGCATCGATAACAAGTCTTGCATCCGAGTCAACAGTTCCTAGAAGTAGTAGACATAGCGATCCTTACGGAGGAAAGTGTCGCGACACTTACGGGAACTATTAGGTCGTCCCGAAAGTTTCTTTCGCTTTATTAATAAGTAATACATGCACAATATTTTATGTTTCGTGTTACATTACTGAATTGTGCACGATTCATTTTGCTCCATTGCTGTTACAACATGAATATCTATGAAATTTTGATTGTCTATTTATATAAACACGACTACATAAAATAATTGAGTCGTAACTCGCGAAAGAAACTTTCGGGACAACCTAATAGAACAAACTGTACCTCTTCCTCCACCAGTTGTGCAGGACATCGATTAATAACCCATTGTCTGCTAGGCAAATTTTAATCGTTTTTTTCCTCTTCCTTTCTAATATATTATACCTCGACAGCTTTAACTTGTTCCTCGACCAGTATCTCAACTTGTACCTCGATTGCAAACAATCTAAACTTGCGGTGCAAACTATTAGCCATCTCGTAGTTGGCAGTGAATGGGTTAAAAATCGTGTCTCCAAGCATCAACTTATTCCGAGAGCCAGGTGCCAACTTGAATCTCGAAACAAGAAGTCGCCAAGCACAATATTTGCATAAAACTCCGACAAAATTGGGTGCTAGCTTCGCCAGGATGTTGCGTTTCCGGCTTCAAGATTAATCGAAAGTTATCGAACGAAAAGAAGCTCCCTATCGATAGCCCTGTCCGAGCTCTCCTCTCCTGCCGTGTCGCGAAGCTGGTCGGTTTTTGCTCGAGTCTCTTTCACAGAGATACATGTACCGTGACACAATGTCGGACGATCAACGATCGATTCGCTTCGCTTCTCCTTTCCTTCTCTACTTTTTATCGCGATAGTTAAGCCAGAAATGGTTACCCGTCCACATCCCCTTGCCGCGTTTGGGAATCGGGATGTTCTTCTCTCGAGGGCCGACTAGAATGCGTTACATTTTAATGCGACGGTCTCTTCCATAACATGGACACCCTCTGCTAAACGAAGATTAATCGGTGAATAATTGCTTCATTTTTAAACTATCCGCTTTCCAAACGTCTCGAATCGTGAAATCTTAAATTTTTAATTTTTCGCGGGAAAGGAAACGACCGTCGCTTAGATTAATTTAATTTCGTTAGAAGAAATAAGTGTTATATTCAACCCATTTGAGGACATTGACGCATTTCATTTCCATCTTGTTTCAGATACTGATTAAGTTTATCCCAGATAATATAATATGGCTACGTATTTCGTTTCGAAACGATGCGTTTGCGTTGCATTAAAGCGTTAGATTAAAAATTCTTTGCCCCCCACCCCGCCCCCTGGATGGCGAGGCGTCCAGCACGCCCCCTACTTTGGAAAACAGTAGCGTGTAGGGTTTGATTACAGAAGGCACGTATTTATTAACCGACTCTCAAGAATGAGACGTTACTGCTTATCGAAGTACGCTGGAAGAATGGAACGCGGGGGATTCGTGGAATGCGAGGTACGTGTAACAGGCGTGACCTTCCCAAGGTCAGACGGTGTGTAAAGGAACAATGCACACGGGACTCGATCCGTGTTAGTCGATCGTGATACTGTACGAATGGTTAGAGCAATTATGATCTTCGCAGAACAAAATATGTTGCATAGATCTCGATTAGCTATCGATATACATTGATCTCTATTTCTGAACACCCTCTCGCTGTACTATCAAAATTTACGCTTCAATTTCAAGCTTCGTTTTCATACGTGACTCCTCTCTCTTTTAATTATCTCTCAGTCGATACATGTTCCATAGATTACGCTTCTTTTAAACACACAGTTATGTTTAAGTTTAAATCTCTTTTTCGAGTATTGGGTTGTCCGAAAAGTTCATGGCTATCTTTAAGAAAAATTCAAAGGCATGTTTGAATTTTGATGTATATTTATTGAATTATATGTGTACCATTTTGTTCCACAACCTTTCCACCTGTTCAGGAATGTACAGATGTATTTGTTTTCAGCCATTCCGATATATTCAGATCTGTACCGCCTACTAAAAATCGACATGGACTTTCCAAACAGTCCAAACATTGATTTTTCAATATCCCCCAAAAAGTTAAGGATCAAGTTGGATTCGATTGAAAAGTTGAATCTCCCTTTCTTTTAGTTTCTATAAAATACGATATTTCTCGTATCTATATTCTGCATTTACCGTTTTAATAAGGGGAACAAAGTTGTTGAACAAAATTTGCAAACATTGCGATCTATACTGCATAAACAAAAGATCAATAGAATTCCATCGTTTTCCCAAACATTTTCGAATCGCAAGAGTAGCGCTGATCGCAATGTAATATCGAACTAACACGGTGAGGTTATGATTTTGAAATTGAACTAACAGCGCACCCTAACGTCGAACCATGAAATTTAGTATACCTTCGTGAAAGCTAGGTTTCAAATATTTTGAATCTTTCTTTACTAGTGACCGAAGAAATTGTTACCGGCAATTTTTTTACGTAAAAATAGAGTATGTACTGTGAAAATGTCAGGTTTAACACATTGGACGAATCTACCGAAAGATATAAAGCCAGATTTCGTTTCGCACAGTGGAGATTATGATTTTCCATTGTACCTTTCTGAGAAGGAAGAATGGGTGAATTTCAAAAATTTTAAAGGTACATGGATGTGTACCTGATTTTAGTTCATATTTGTGAGACAAATTGTTTCAGGTTCTGTGTCGATACACGAACCGTTCTTAATAATGGAATTGAACAGACTTGTGCCTTTCTTTGAAGATAATTGTGTGAAATTTCATCCTCTCAATATGCCCAATATTAAATTAGGTAAAATTGAGATAGTAGGATTCGTTGTGACTGTTAAGGAGGATGCAAAATATTATCAATACCAGGGTAAATGTAACGAATGTAACCAACAATTTATATATAAAAATCTACAAAAATCTGAAAATAAGCATTTATGCTAAAAGGTTAATTTCAGTTGACGATGGTACAGGATCCGTTACTGTTTATTTTGAGAGAAAGTTTTTCGATGCACAAAAGCTTGAAAGACGAACGATCGATGAAAAGTATCATAAAATTGCGAGAAATATGAATATCGAATCACTGAATAATCAAGAATGCCCAAAAGTCTTTCCTAACCCGCGTCCACAGTTTAGTTATCCTCCTGATACAAGTATGCATGAAATGGCAGTAAGTAAGAGATTAATTTGATATGCAGCAATTGAGAAAAAAAATGTTGACCTTTTCAATTGTTACACAGATTGTTGAACATAACTGGTTCTTAGAAACCAAACATGGTTTATTGGGCAAGAATGTGGAACGTAGCAAGTATGTGCACGCGGTAGGATATTGTGCACTTGATTTCATGTTTGGTCACAGGCCAGAAAATGATTTTACATTTCTAGACATATCGACTGTTAAGTTATATTTTCTTGCAAACAAAGTAATATGCATAGATGAATGGGATTATAATGCAAAATTGTATTCGTGGTTGTTCACTGTTGTTCGAAAAAGGTACGATGAACATCCAGATAGACCAGAATTTCCCCTGGAGAAGAAAAATGTAAAGGTACCTATATAAATAAGGGTTTATGTAAAAAATTAATAAGATACAAATTATATTTAAAAAGCCTTTATTTAGAAGTGAACAATAAAACAACATTTGTATGCTCTATTTGTATATTAAACATCGCAAATTTCAAATTTTTTGACTAAATTTTGTGGAATCATAATACAATGAAAGCGTTTATGATATTCCAGTGAATCACGTAGCAACTTTCGAATTGTTCTATTACTTTTGAAATTCTTTAAACGTTTCATTTTATCAATAGTTGTTCGGTTATTATTTATCTTGGACTGATATTTCCCGCGTTGATGCAACTTTTAAGTAACCGAATTGTCTGTTTTATTTGTACTGGTGCTAACAGCTTGACCATCGGTTATTGTTGCATTGACTGGTTCATTGTTCGTGACCGGTTCCGTTTTACTTGAGGGAATTATTAATTTATGATAGTAGCTTCCAGTTAAAGGTAAATGTGGAGCTATCTCGCTCGGCTCTATGAAGAGCGAAGGTGGAACCTAAAAAAATAAAATAAGCTGTTAAGATCGAAAAATGTAAACATAACTTTATTTATATCGCGAAGCTACTTACGCGTAACTCTTCAACCTTGGCTTCTCTCGTCGTGTACTCTCTCAACATATAGTCTTGCCCGAACTCGTGATAAATCCGAGTATCGTTAATTCTTATCATTACGTTATCGATCCTCAAAAAATATCTTAACAAAATGAAAAAGCTGCTGGGCATAACGCGCTGCGGAGCAAAAGTCCACTTCATCTTTTTCTAATTATCGTATACAGATATAACAATTTCGCTAACTTACAATTTTCACGGAACAAACCGCGATACCGTTGTCGTGAAGTTCATCTTCGAATAACGTTAAATCGTGATAAAACAGGATTTTCTCTCTTCTCTTCAATTTATCCATATCGATCCGTTCGTTAGTTTCTTGAACTTCTAAATTAGACGCTGTACCCGTGTAAGAAATAGTAAACGTCCAATCGAATGGCTTTACTTTTTCTTCTAGATACTCGCTGCTCTCCAACCTATTTTTAAAATACTATTCATTTACAAATGCGTTAACAAATTAAACAGACAAGATGAAAATTCCTACCTAGATTCTTTCCATGCTTCCGCACACGCGAGTTGCACGTTAACTTTCCCATTTGAAACAGTTTTCAAAGCATCCAGAGCATTGAATTGTAGTTCTGCACCGCTTTGATGCTTTAGGAGTAATATATTGTTTGGAAATACCATGTCTGGCATGTGTGGCAGGTCTAAGGTATGACTGAAACTATTAAATCAATTATAAGACTTAAGCTGATGCAAGTTTCGTTATCAAATAAAGTTTACTGTCATACATGCAAAACTGGCAAGCATTTGCATCGTCAGCACTACAGCCATTTTCACTTTTGGAACATTTAGAATGTAATATGTGAGACTGCGTGTATTTAATGTGCCACGGTGGAAAGATGCATTCGTCTTGGTTGACAGGTAATCGTAAAATGTCAATTCCACCATGAATTTTCACGGTTGTCATGATCTGAAAAGAATGATGTTTAGCAATGAAACAATAGTACTATTTTATATTCAGTATTGTAAACATTGATGAAAATAAGATGGATGCCCTATGTGCATACATTTGGTATCCAAGTAGAAGCCATTATCTTCTGTTAAAATGCTCTCTGTAGTACAATATTTGGTTGTACTGTATTGAATACCATAGTAGCAATATCATTTTTAGTCACTATTATTCGATTTATTTCCAATTATACTTAACTATTATTCATAATACTGGATAACCTGTCAAACACTATTTACAAAGAATACTTACGAAAAATATTCGCTGAATTCGGTCATCAAATTAATTCCTAGTAAACATCGAGAATTTCGTCTAAATTACCTAAAGGTAGCCTCCACTTTCGTTCGAATTTTCACTCTTTTCGGAGCTCGCAAACTTCTTTCAAGTATAACGATTACGCTTCTTTCATAGCGCTGCATTATCGACTGTGCATCGAGTGGAATATCAGAAACACGCAATAGGATCTTGTGCACCCCCAACCAGGCAATGTATACAACGTATACTCGATGCTGTCGAGTTTTAAAATATGGCGCCAAAGCGTTCTTCAAGGTATTACAATTAATATTACGAATCGTTTATATTATCTCGAGAGATTTCATTTTCAAGTAGTTTATTCTTTGCTGTTTAAGGTTCCTCGACTGGTAACAGTCTTCTTCACTCGACTCCCATGGAAAATTAAATCAAAAAATGACTTTACTCTAAGTAGCGACACTTCACCAGCAAATGAAGCAATGTTTTGTCAACTGGGCTCCGTCAGACGTCAACGGAGCTCGTGGTCCAGAGAGTTAATACCGAGCGTTGTTCCAAATCGAGTCTCGAGCGAAGATTTTAAGAAGAGACGCTTCAGTCGCTGCACCATACGGAAATAACCGTGGTGGAAGCAAATCTGATCAGTTCTGGTTGGGCGACGCAGACGGTTACGTGGTCTGTGAGAAGCGCGCGTTTAGAATGACGTCCAAGAAGGCGAATTTAACCGTGGAATTTACTCCAGGAAACGACATCGTCAACGAGGCCGTAGAAAAGAGGCGATTCCTCCGCGAGAAGTACATGCAGAGGTTCAAAGCGGCCGCCGGCCACGTGGGACTTTTAATTACCTTGATGCTCTACACGGTAATTGGCGGTTTGGTGAGTCAGACTCCGGCTGTATGCACACTTTCTTTAGTTTATTCATTCGTTAAAAAACGCATACCATATTTTAATACTTGTTTACAACGATACTTAACTGCTTCGTGCTCGCACCTCATGTTTTTTTTTTTTTTTAAATACTAGTAGACCGAAAAGAAATATATGAAGATTAGATGCTATATGTCAAAAATGTTTGAACGTAATGAAAATAGTACTCGTAACACTCGCTTTACGTAATAATTGCGCATGACCTTGACGAAGGAAACTCTTAAGTGGCGCACCCCAAACGAGAATCCTCGATTTTCAGAATCTGTTTGTTTAATTTTCGCTAGCTCTCTCGGATTTTGCCCCACTATGCATTATGGCGAAAGTACAATGTCGTTAAATTAGGAATACAAGTGGTCGCTACCGAGGAACGCGCAGCTTACGTCCTATCGAAGATTCGAAAATATACAGACAAACATCGACGACGATGTCTTGATCGGTATTCCTCCGGGCGGCCCACGAACGTTCGCGTCTCTAATTGTTTGGTTACCAGAGTTTACGGGGAACGTAATATTTATAGAAATAACAACGTGTGTCTGGATTACCAATCGGTGTCTTTATTTTTAGCAATGGACCAATCGTACGCTCGGTTGCGATTGCTATCTACCATACTCTGTCGAACGTTTACGAATAACATTTTTATTTTCAATTCTCGATCTGTTCGTTTGATCGCAACACGTCATTATTAAATACATCCAATAGCGCTATTAGAAACACATAGTGACACTATCGTAGGATGCGATATCACCAAAACGACCGCAGTACATTATATTTAATGTTTTGTTATTCTTTACGCTTGAAAATAATATATTATATTATTTGATGTGAAAGTTATAATAATACAAGGCAAATCATTCGCTCTACGATTCGTGTTTTTTTTTTCTAAATTCAACTTCAGAGGGAATGATTAACGACGCTATCGAAACGTAAACCGGACATGCGTTTGGTAAATACGGTCGAGTATCGATGGTAAACAGGCGTCGAGACGCCCACTCGAGATTCGCCAAGTTCGCAAGTGCGCTCGAGTACAATTTTATCAGATAAATTAGGATTAGCATATTTCGTATTATATTTCCTGATCACGAGATGTTAACGTTCTTGGTATCGACGCTGTACAAGTAGATTCGAAGCTGCTATGTCGTTAGTGACTGTTGCCCCCGCTGTCAGGTTTTTCGGCATATCGAGCTTCCGGCGGAACAGGCGCGTTTGGAAAGTCTGCGCGCCAATTTGCGCACCTTGAGACGCTCGTTCGTCGACTCCATTTCCAATAACTCCGACGTCTCGAACTTGCACACTCTGGTAAGTCGAGAAAACGCGGACAGTATTCGCGAAACGAACATTGTTCTTGAAATCGTTTAAACAGATTTAAAACGTGTCGAAAGTTGAAAGGTGTACGATGGCAGAAGATGATTGCAGGTCAGCGTGAAATTACAAGAATACGAAGAGGCTGTGCAAGAAGCAGCGCAGGGTGGTTTGTTGATAAGTTTCGTAGCAGACACGATCGATCAAGAGGATCGGGGACCAGCAGAGCTGCCGCCGATACCCACTGAAAGATGGAGCGTTCTACAAGCGGTCTTTTTCGCGAGCACTGTCCTTACCACGATCGGTAATAAGTTTTGTTATCTTTATTGTGCCACATATAAAAGTCCGAGAGCCCGCGACACATTTCATTACACAAATGAACCTGTTTTCCGAAGATGGTATGTCTCCCTAGTTCAGAAATGCTTGGTCTGGCATGAATTCAGTGGTGCAACGCTTCACTATGACGTATTATAATAATTCGACTTTCGGCCAAAATCATTACTATTGAAATTTTTAGCGTGTATTGTTGACATACCAAATTGCATAAAAAAGTTGGTCTGGCAGATTGTAAGCGGTGCTAAATGGGTCTGGCAGTCGGCAAACCTTGTCGGAAAAACGAAGTAGTTTGACTGAAATCATTATTTCTGAAACTTTTTCTATAAACAATATCTAATACATAGCGTTACAAAAATTTGGTCCGGCAAACTTTGAGTGGTGATAAATCGGTCTGGCAGCCGTTTAAAAGAGCGAACACGTATGCGCGTCGTGCAATTTCATGACTTATTGAAGTTAAATAATAATAATAATAATTGTATGAAATAAAAATCATCACAGCAATGTTTTGTACATAACTAATGTATATAATGTTTAAAAATAATTATTACTTGATAGTTTTATTAGATTATAGAGATTTCAACGCCGGTAACGCATGTGTGTTCGTTCTTTTAAACGGCTGTCAGACCGATGTAACACCATTCAAAGTTTGCCGGACCAAATTCTTTTAACGCTATGTATTACATACTGTTTATACAAAAAATTTCAGAATTAATGATTTCACTCAAACTATTGGGTTGTCTGGAAAGTCCACGCCGATTTTTAGTAGGCGGTACAGGTCTGAATATATCGGAATGGCTGAAAACAAATAACACGCGGACATCCTCTTAAAAAGTGGAAAAGTTGTGGAACCAAATGCTACATACATAATTCAATAAATATATATCAAAATTCAAACGTGTCTTTGGATGTTTCTTAAAAATTGCCACGAACTTTCTGGACAACCCGAAACTTCGTTTTTCCGACAAGGATTTTCCGACTGCCAGACCCATTTAGCACCGCTTACGATCTGTCAGACCAACTTTTTTTATCCAATTTAGTATGTCAACAATACACACTAAAAATTTCAGTAATAATGATTTCAGTCAAAGATACCGTTATTTCTTACATGTTTCCGACTTTCTAGCGGAGCGATGCACCGTTTGTGCTCTCCCAGTCTTGGATTATTTGTATTCTCTAGTAGAAAACAGTCAAATAGGAAAAGGATATTTGTGACGAAATTGGCCGAAATTTTATGTTGCGGGCTCTCTTATATGTCTTCACCTTACATGCTACAGTTATGTCTTTCAGGGTACGGAAATGTAGTTCCATCTACTGGTTGGGGTAGGATCTTTTGCATATTCTTCGCTTTCGTCGGTATTCCCCTCACGTTGACGGTGATAGCCGATTGGGGGAAACTGTTTGCCGCAGCAGTGATCAAAGTCGGATTGACCATGAGGTCGAAGCTTCCGTTTCGATGTACCTTCTCCTGTCTTCCGACAAATTTAGCTGGAAGACGATCGCTCGGTGAGTTTCACTGGCAAATTCGAAACGAAAAAGTACAAATCGATTATTAATTTTACTAATTTTACCTACTTACCCTAACGTATTGTTCGGTATACTCCTTTAGGAGCTCTTGCAGCGATCGCCCTCCTCTTCTTGTACCTCGCCTGCGGTGCAGGCATGTTTATGTTGTGGGAAGACGACTGGGACTTCTTCGATGGATTTTATTTTTGTTTCGTGACCATGACTACTATAGGATTCGGCGACTTGGTCCCGAGTAAGTAGCAGAACGTGCAGTATGCACTCTGAGAACGATCTGTACGTTATTATAGCTCGCTTCGTGTCGTCGCACGTACGCAGAGAAGCCGAAGTACACGCTGCTGTGCACCCTGTACATTCTGGTGGGCTTGGCGCTGACCAGCACCATCATTGAACTTGTTAGGTTGCAGTACACGCAATCTTGGAGAAGATTGCAAAGACTCAGCGGACCGTTGACCGAGGCCATCCGGAGGCTTGGCGAGCAGGCTGGTGGCGACATGGTCGCGCTTCATTCGGACCTCAGGTATTAATCTGACTAGAATTCATTTCATTACGAGAGAATTCAATCGTATAAATATTAATTTTAGGAAAGTCTTGACGGTGATATCGATGCCTCGCATAAAATGGTCGGCTTCGTTCAATCGGGCGGATTCGAAGGATCAGGATTGGGAGGATGCGATCGAGGTCGTACTTCGCGATATCGCGGCGAACAACGCGCAGCCCAATAGAAAACCGATAGTGCAGATTGTCATTTACGAATCGAGCGTCTGAACAATCAAAATTAGCGATCGTTTGCTGTTACATCGCATTACAAAAAATACGTTTCGGTCATTCTACTTAACCCCTTGTCGTACTTTGACGAGTCTGACTCGCGATGAAGATTTTCGCCCAAACGTAAGTATCACGAGCCAGGCTCGTAAACAAATAGTCGGGTGAAATATAAACATCAGTTTTCGGCCCTAGTTTCGTCGAGCTAAATGGTACGAGAAGGGGTTAATTTGCTTATCTGAAGTTTAAAGTTACATTGCGATTCACCTTCCTACATAATTCGTTGACATTTTCCTGCGTCGTTTGATTTCACCCGCGTAAAGTGCGCGCGTCGGCGCGTGAGGCGACGAACGCGCGCAACCAACACAACCCTGAAAGTTCGATCAGCATAGTCCCTATGTTGGACTGACCGAATCGACGAAAACAATAATTTTGTAGAGAAGCGGTCGCTAAATATAGAAATCACAGCGCCGTAAAGAACCACGACAGGTGACGGTTCTTTGCGTCCTTCGTCAGCCTTCGTCGTAGTTGACGGTGACATACGGGTCTCCTGGTGGTCCAAATCATGCAAAACTCGACTCTTCTGCGAAACAACACCGAGAGACCCTCGGCGATAGTGTGCATCGCGTATCGTGTGCGTATAATTAAACGACAAGAACGATAAAAAAAAAAACGAGCCTTGTATCGCAGTGGTGCTCGCACTTGACAGCTCAGTGTTAGGAAAAATGTAAAAAATCACTGTATATCCGCGTGTGCATACTCTTCCAGACCGATCCGTCGAAATGACGTACACGTTTAACCAACGAAAGGAAGACAAAAATATTGAACGAATCCCTTTTTTGTTTGAACAATTCGCTTGTCGTACGGTTGCCTCTAACAAGACTTCCGGTTGGAAATGGGCGATTCACGTATTCTGCAAATATGTAAATAATTGTCTGTCGATGATGTGACCAGATTTACGAAAAAAAACGGGTAAAACACTTTCCCCTTAAAGAACTAAACGTGTCAGGGTGCTCGAGAATCTAAAACACACATAAATAAATATAATGCTCGTTATTGCGAGACAAGAATATGTATACTATATATTACACATTTTTAGATGCATACATACACGTATGTATGAAACTAAAACAATAATACGACAATAAACAGTTCGATATACTTCGACAACATTTTACTATAGAGTGCACAATTTCAACAAAAATTCCATGTTTAATTGCCACGTAATTAAATTTCAATATATTTTTTTATAATTCGGGAAATCTGGTCACGTTATTACTTAATCTCTTTTTAAATATAACCTGCAACAAAACAGTAGCATCGCGATGTTACTGGCTGTTGTTTTTTTTTTGCCTAAGTTGCCTAAGTACGCTTGCGCGCAATAGTTTGTGCGGTAATTTCGAACACGCTGGAGTACATAATTTTTGTTCCAGGAGATTAATAAAAAATTGGAATTTGTCAATTACTTCCTGTTGCGACGAATATTTTTTATATGCTATTAGCTACGAGTTCAAGGTAAAGATTAATTCGATGTTATTAAGTTTTTTCTTGTTTAGCAATCGAGTACGATGATCGGTGTTAAAGATCCTACCGAGCAACCGAAAGTGGACGAAACAAACCAAGAGAACAAGCAAAACAATGCTATCGTTAAAAGAAGTATTACAGATTTAAGAATCAACTCCATGGAAAGTTTCTTCGAGTTGTCCAAAGAAATGGCGGAATCTTTCAGGTGATCGATCGCACAATCAAACTATAACTTCGTAGATCAATAGTACACTGTATTTGTTGCGTGTCTGATCGAGTAATTTTAAACTGACGCCTTTTGTGTTTGTTTCTCAGGTTATTTTTAGACGAATTAAAAGTTCGATTCGAACAATTTCGTGAACAACCGCTGAACATATTAGAATTATTGTCGTTGTCTAATCTGCACAAATGGACTCAACGCGAACAATAAATAAAACAGTGGGAAAGTATTGACTTTTTTTATAGATTAATATATATATATATACATATATATATAAAACAGGATCGGAAGATTTATAATTTTATTTAGAAGCTTAAGGAGACCCGAAAACTCGGATAACGACCAACATTTTTGTTTTAACTTAAACGAAACTATTTATGTATTTGTGAACGTTTCACAAGCCCAGTGTTCATATGTAAACTAAAAGTACATACTATAATTTTGTTTCGGTGAAAAATTTCTTCGTAAAAAACTCTTTTATTTGTAAATATAAAGAAATACATTGGTGGTATACGGAGAACCTAAGCAAAAGACAAATCTAAAGCAAATCGATGTCGTCTTTCTCGACAAATTATGAAAATATTTCCTCCAGAAATGCTTCAAACTGCTCTCTCCTCGATAAAGTGAGATCAAAATACGGGTCACCTTAAATAATTACTATTAAACACGATATAGATGTTCAAGGTCGCAAAGTTGTTCTAATAAAATGAGAAATTAACGACGGAACAATCGATTGTCATTTGTTTTTTTAAGATACCCTCAAAAAATAAATTAAATGCCTGATTAATTTGAATACGTTTAAATCTTGTACGTAACCGTTTTAAACTGTTACGGGTAACAATGTTTTTCTTCGACCATGTGTATGTCGTGATGCCAGAGCTGTAGCTACAGAAGACTACGCGTGGTCCTAATATTTTCATCATCCTTTGAAGCAACTAAGGGGGCCAGTTTTATGGTCGTATTTGATACATCACTGGCGCCACAGATACAGTGCGAATGCGCGAGTGGGGGCTAACCTAGCATCGCTGGTTCATTATCAACACAGTCGCCATGTTGGATGCGCATCGTTACCGCCAATATACTGCGATCTAATAAATTCGTTCTTTTCGTCGAAACCACTAGGATAGTTAACTTTTTTTTTTAGACTTATAATCGTTTCGTTTTCGAATACAGAGAGCACTCGACGAATTCTCTCGTATGTTTACATCTTTGTTTCCACTGTGTTAGTTGTATGTCACTATGCCAAACCAATACTGTTTTCTATGTGCGAGCGACGAAGGTGTTTTCTTGGATATCACCGCCGACAACAAGAAACAATATCATGAACAATTCGAGATTTGCTCACTCGTCACGGTACGTTTGTCAGAAAACTGCGTACGTTCTTCATATTTGGCAAGATAACCAATCTGTTTCACGTTTAATAAACCTTTTGCGATTTATAATAATCGCGGTTATAAATGTGTTAAAGAACAGGAAATTCGAATATTTTTTCTGTAAACAAGTTTACATGATCCATTTTAATTTTGCATAATTCCATTTTAATTGATTCTAATTTTGAGGTTAGTACAGAAAGGTTGTGTTTATTTATGTAGGTACCCACAGCAGATAAATTGCCAACCAAAATTTGTCACAAATGCGCATACGAGTTAAAACAGTGCAGTTCGTTTGTAAGGAAATACAAACATTGCACTTCTATGCAAAAGAAACACAATCGCAAGTATTGTTGTAATTTATGTTTCGAATCTACAGAGAAGGAGTACATCTTTAATCTTAGTAAAGATAAAACTTCGGAAAACAATATACTTTCCAAACTACAGAAGCTTTTTGACAATGAAGTAAGAAATATATATAATTGATAATTATGTTTATTAGTTATATCTCATTAAAACTAAAATAAGCAATTCCAATGTTATGCCTTCTTTATTAATAGCCTGAAAAATCTGAGGGAGAACGCATGCTTATATGTTTGTCCTGCCGATATACAGTGGACGTGTTATTTGATTTGAAGAATATATCTCAAGAAATCGCAACAAACCTGAATAATATACTTAAGGGAGGAATAGATTATGTAAACTTTCCTAAGGTAATTTTCTTTTGCAAGTACTGTTAAATTTAGGCTAGCCTCATATAATAACATTGGTATTTGTATTTTTATAGATAAAAACAGCCATTGTAAGTCGTAAAACCACTGTCACCGATTCTGCTAGAACAAACTTTTACACGTTACAAGATTCCAATACAATGGCGCGTAAAAGATCTCGGATGAATGATTCGAACGATAACAATTTAAATGAAAAATTAAAACTGCAGGTCTGCGAGAAATGTCACAGTTCCGTTAGCGATAACGACGCCAATATCCAGAAACTTAAGAATACAGAACAAATTGTGTGCAAAAGCTGTTCGGTGGATACGAATCTCGAAACAAATAAAATTGACAAGCAATCGAGTTTCGCGGAAACCAAATCCTGCACAGTTTTCTTAAAAGACGTGTTAAGAGACAAGACGGAAAATCAACGAAAGCTTTACGAAGTCAAAGAAGATAGGAAGGGTAAAAAGACATACGTCGTAACCGACAACACATTGGAGAATAGTAAAAAGGAAGTAGAGGCGTCCTCTAAAGTAATTAACGATGTAGAAATTATTACAGGAAAGCAAGGTGTAAAACGTTCTTTAAGACATATGAAAACTGATACTACCGATAACAAAGAGAGCCTGAGTAAAAAACTAAAACCCAGTACGAAACAAGTAAATTTAGATTCTAAGTTAACATCATCGATAGAGGAGCCTATCGCGAGAAAGTTAAGATTACGTGTACCTAAAGCTGGAATGAAGGAAGCTAATAGAAGTTCTGAGTCAGATTCTTCCATAAATAACAGCGTCAAAGGAAGGAAAAATACTCTAACTAGGCATAAGCGAGCAACTGGATCCTCTTTGTCCGATGCAGACATTGACAGTAAACGCGATCGTAAGAAGCTGAAAAGTATATTGGCGGGAAACACTGTAATACAAAATTTAAGCATAACATCTTCAGCTGATGACGATGCGCCGAAGAGGAAGAGATTAAGATTTACGAGCGCTTCGCCTGTTATGATTGATCTAACCAACAAAAACGTCACGCAGGAAGTCTCTCGAAGGAGGACAGCGATGCGAAATTTAAAACTATCTTCGACAAAAGGAACGCCGAAAAATTCGAAAGGCTACGACTCTGTTATCGAGATATCTTCGGATGATAACAGCGAGACGTACGCTTGCGAAGAGTGTGGAAGTAATTATGAAAACAAACTTGTGTACATGTCACACAAGTTGACACATTACAAACAGCCGAAACTGGAATTAGAGAAAATGGTTATCAAAAACATAGTAAAAGATACGTCAGATGTAAAAGAAGCTGTAGATGACGAGTGTATACAAATTAGAGTAGACGACGACGAAGATGACGAAATAGTGGATGTTGTAAATAATTTGGATGCGAGTCCTGTTACAAACGATCGACCTCGTTCTTCTACGGAAGAAAGAATCGAGAATACAGTTGACGTAGAGTCTATAACGAAAGATCCTGACGATCAGCAAAACGAGGACGAAGTTAAGAAAGCAGAAGACCAAAGAGCTGTAGAAACATCTACGACCAACTCACCGAGTAAAGTCAGAACTTCTTCGAGGAGGGGCAGATTTTTGAACCAGCAAAACCAGCACGAGCAGACAAACGAAAGGAGGAACAATGTCAGTCTCAGTCCCAGTGGATCTCAGAAAGAAGACAATGCGAGTGCAGAAGAAAATCACGATACTTCGCTCGAGCAGACAAAAGATGCAGAGCTAAAGAAACATCAGGAAAGTCCACTTACGCAAACAGAAAATGGCGAAATCGATCAAAACCAAGATAAGTCAGATTCACCGACAGAAAATGCTTCAGCGAAAGAAAATGAAGACGGTTCGCTTACGCAACTCGAAAATACGGAAACGGAAAAAAACAAGGACATTTCGCTCGAAACGACCAATGGTCCACAGGCGGAAGATGTGCAAGATAAAGAAAATGAAGAAAGCAATGAGAGCAGAGTAGGTGAAAAAATTACAGATGCAGAAGAAGGCAAAGAAAAACAAAAAAAGAGTGAAGATATCGACGGCGAAGAAGAAATTGTATGTACACGGCAAGATATTGAAACAAGTGATAAGGAAAATGAAAGTAATGATAAAGAAAATGAAACTAATGATAAAGAAAGTGAGATAAGTGACAAAGAAAATGAAACTAATGATAAAGAAAGCGAGACAAGTGATAAAGAAAATGAAACTAATGGTAAAAAGAGTAAAACAATTGATAAAGAAAATGAAACAATTAACGAAGAAAATGAAACTAATGGTAAAGAAAATTCAATCGAATTAGATTCCACTAAGGTGGTTGAAGATATTGCAGATGAGGAAGAAGTAGATTCTTCTAAAACGATTGAACACACGAGGACAGGGGACGAGTTGACTGATGGAGACTTGGGTATCATCGACGAGAGTATATCGGAAAATGCAGCGAGTAAAATGGCGCCCAACAGCGCGGAAAAGATAGAGATCAGCGACGAGAATAAAGATGATGAGGTACAGTGTACGCAAGAGGATGTGGTATCGATATCCAGTGAGAAGAGCACAAGTAACAACGATGGGAAGATAGTCGAGAAGGATCTCACGGAAACGAGCACTGCGAGTCCAAGAAAATCGAAGAACGATTCCACCGACGCAGCAGTGGAAGTGTTGCAAGAAGTTCTCGATTTGGCGAATGCAGAGGTCCAGAAACGTCAAGAATTCGTTGATGTTACCATCGAACAAAATTCAAGCGAAATGGAAACTTTGGAAAACATATCGCGTGAAATAAGCAACGGCGGAGGGGCTCTCAAAGAAAACAGCGTGACCGTTTCTCTATAAATCGTATATTGGTCTTCGTAAACCGTGAACAGGTTTTGCAACAGATATTCTACAAACTTTTATATGAAATTCATTTCTTTAACAATTATGTCCACCCAGCACTAACATATTACAAAAGAAGAGAATCTCTAAGACTGACTTGTTCTTTGATCATTGCTATCCCCACTAACTGAGGATCTCCTTCGAAACCAGTGAAGCATTGAACGACGACGTGGGTCAAGAGATCTAAAGACGACACTGTACATGTTCTGTACAGTGGACAGGTACTGGAAACGCGTTTTTACCAGTACAGTATTTACACATGCATATATTGGTTAATCATTTCAGAGCCAGTTCGCAACGTGATCAAATAAAGAAATTAAGGAATATACATTTTTTGATGTCACGAGCAATATCGGAAATGGATCATTTAGGCATTCTATGAAAGGATATACAGGCATTTAAGTAGGCATTACTGAGACAAATTGAAATAAGGATTATTATTGTTTGAGTGGGAGTATGTAAATTGTGTGTATACAGCCGGAAGATCTGAGTAAAAGTACATTAAAAAATTATATAAATTCAATTTAATTTAAAAATCTTATACAAGAACGTTCAAAAATTGACGTGATTTAAAGAATTTACATTCTCCCATTTTTTTATTTAAGTCGATAAATGCCCATATGTCGCTTAAAAAAAAAACTTCGTTTTTTCTTTAAGTTTGTTTAGGAATCTAGAAATCCAGTATTATTCCGTTCTCGTAAGACATGAATGTGTTCATAATCGAAAGTTAAAATTATTAATATATTAAATATCGAGGATAAGAGACAAATCCCGACTTTCGAAATTTCATAATGTCATTTTTACATTCATATATAATATCAGAAAGTATTTATTGCACGTTATTTTAATTTTGTGACTCAGTCAGCTCATCGTTTAAGAGTGACTGCGACTGTGGGATCGTGCCCTCCGAAGTTTCATAATGCATCTCCAAGTCTGACCTCTCAGCTGAAACGTAGACGCACGTGAATTAAATCAGAAACACTGATTCGTTGTATAGTATAGCGTCGATATGTACTACTGATAAAATTGCAGTACTGTTAAAAGTAGGAAAACTGTGGCCATATTCCGATACCGCAGTAGGCGAACGTTGTAAATACTTCTACAGCGAGTCGTAGATGTACTCTGTCAACTGGTAATTTGGAACAATTTATATATTTTTAAAGGCAAAGTGTTACGTTATCCTTGATGTATAAATGTATATACTGTACTAATTAAACCTTCGATTGATATAAACTCTCGCGAAAAGTAACAATTCGGTGCAATTCCAAAAACGAATTAGAAGGTATTGGTTTATAGTAACCAAACTGTTTGCTCTATTAGCTTTCCTAGGTTCTTTTAATTTAATTTATAAAGTAGCTATGACATTAGCTAGAGTGATAGGATTAAATTTACAGTCAAAGGAATTTATACAAGGGAAATATATATTTCAAATGTATAAACAACGTATGTACAAATATATAAACATAAAATATTTTTAACGTTGATATCAATCGGAACTACTCTAATTAATACAATCTATCATCGTACTAAAAGGAGTTCAGATAACGCGTATCCTGAAAGGATATAGACAATCTGAAGTCAGCAGTTGAGGAGGATATCTTTTGTGGCTCGCTGTTAATACTCGCGATGTTTATATAAAAAGAGTGTATGAAATAATTTGCGGGTAAAGAAAAAAAAAAAGAAACGATCTTGTATATTACTGTATATTTGTGTACGACTATATTTCTTTGTTTACCGTGTATCTCGTCGGTCCAGAACGGTTCTCTGCGTCCTTTCCAAAGGCATATCTTCGAAATGGCGTCTTTGTCGTGTTCACCGCATCGCGAGATCAACTCGAAAAACTTCTCGATTCTTTCTTGTCCTGCGAACAAACGGATATGCATTACGGTACACGAGTTCTCGTTTTTTTTTTTTTTTTATGGTAGTTAAGTACTTGATCGTCAAGGATGATTTCGATGTAGAATATGGTACATTTATAGAAACTGCTAGACTGTGTAAAATAGAATAAAAAGAGTAGCCGTATTTCTAAACTGTTCTAAGTTTTATTTAACGTCAATCGAAGTACGCTGTTCCCCATTTAAGACATATTTTGACGATACCGAATGTTTCATACGAATATTTCGTAAGTGATTTAAGGATAGTTGCTTTTCGAACGCCGTGCGAATTTTTATAAGAACGCGTTAGTTTATATCGATAGCGTAAGCATTTTTGTAACACGCTACCTGGATGTTTCTGGGCGTTCACTGTTCTTAAATAAATCAGTATTTTAAAGATACCTTTTATGACAACGACATTCGTTTCATTTCTAAAGGTTTCATTTGATTCAATTTGAACAAGAGTCAAAGAAAATCGACTCTGTCACGCGACTTGCGAATTCCGGTAGTATGTTACGAGAATGTTTATATTTTTTACGAAGAATTACGATACATTCATGTACATACGTGTCTCTATAAATACTGTGTACTCGTTTAAGAGAACATCCCATGTAAGAACTGTTCGATGTAAATTAGCGTACATATTTGCCATAAATAATTCTTAGACATTTTTGAAATGTACAATTATTTTGATACGTTAATTGTTAGACATAAATACTTATTCCTATGATATTTTAATGGTTTGTGAATGGAAGCGTTAACAAGAAACACTAGGAAGATACCTTTAGAGATGCCCGCGATACTTCTGGCGCGATCGGCTTCGCGGGACAGACCGAGTTTATTGTAAATATGCAGAGCGCTTTCCAAGTGTGAAGTAGATATAGTTAAACTACCCTGTACCAATGAACGAAATAGCGTTGGAACATTTTGTTTGATTAGACTATTTAATTTGTTTGCACAGTACAAGTTCCGTATAATTTTATCGTTTAACTTTGTCAGACTGGCGTGTAGGTTTCACAAACCATCAATTTTTCAATGAAATTTCACGTAAAGTCGAAAATGTTAAGTAGTCGTGGCACAGATAAATAATTAGATAAACAGGGCGAGTCACCTAAGATTTGTGCCTAAAATATCTCCGGTTCAATGATACACATAAACATTTAATGTTTTACGTTGGAGTACGATTTTATACAAATAACTCCTCACAAGGTAACTCACCCTGTTTAACTTTTACTGGCATCGTTATATTTGTTACCGCAATTTAGGCTTATTATTGTTTTCGCTTTGTATTGTTATAGAAAAGTTTGATAAACAAGTAACGAACATCAAGCAATTTCGTGTCGATTCATTTGCGTACCTGAGTCAAGTAATGTTCACCAGTGTAATAGTGGGCGTCTGCGAGTTTTTCAAAGAGGCCGAATTGCTTAGTGTTCTCTCTAAACATCCTCAAATGTTTCTCCGTGTGGACGTTGTCGTTCAATTGCTGCGCCCATTATGCGTTCGTTACTTACATCTTAAACATATTATTTACTTGTCTTTGCGTACAAATTTTTTCTCTTGTTCTATTTACCTTGTACGCGAATGCTAATTCCATGTGGGCGTTACAGACTCCCGCAGCGTCTGGAATCCTTTTCGCCAAGGCCAATAACTTGGAGAAGCTGTGCAACGCGCGCTTGACGTCGTTCCTCGCGATGTAACTTTTCCCCAGCTCGTAAAGGGCTTCGTTTACGTATTCTGTGTCGTCAGCTGCTTTGCAAATTAAAGCAAAATATTTTATGTTTAACGCGGATAAGAAAATCAAATTTCGGCATGGAATTGTTCTCTCCCATCGAAAAGTAACGAGGTTTACCATCCGTGGCTCTTTCCAGAGCTTCCGTGCAGGCCTTGAGAGCATAATCAGGATTCTCTGGTCGTTCCTTTCGAGCGAGAATCAACAGTGCCTTGTATTGGAGGATGTTACACTCTCTGAAAATGGAACTTTGTTTTTCTTTCAAGATCTTGGAAGCATTCCATGTTTTCTTCTTAGATGCTTCCCGTGCCTCGTTTAGATAATTCAAAGCTTCCTTCGGCTTCTGCACTGATTAAAAACTCTAATAATTACGACGAGTACATTGAGGAGAGTTGAATTAATATTCCGAAAGTGATCGTACTACCAACATTCGTTGAAGAGGAATCGACCGTAAAGGTAACGTATCAAGGTGACGGTGCGACGATCGTCATTCTCGATGGCTTCTGCAATCACGAGAGCATCCTGGTAGAGACGTTCTGCTATCCACCACCATTCCCAAGTTTTCGACTGAAAGAAGAGAGCTGTGTCCAACAGCGATGTTGCCTCAACGATGGAATTACCTACAGAAGTATTATTTCTTTCATCTTTATCTCTCTAATTTATACTCCAAGATGGAAGAGATTCGATGGAATATATCGATACCTTCCCTTCTGCCATTTTCAAAGGCCATCAATCCATCTTTTAGACGATCGATGAAATCCTTTCGATTCTTCAAGTATGGTTTCTTCCACATCAAGGAACTCGATGATTTTTCACCAATTTTTATATCGAGTTCCAGAATCTCTTTCATACGACGGTAGGCTTCTTGGTAGTCCTGCTCGTTAAGTTCGAGAAGAATCGCTTTGTGGTATGGCATGTAGAATCTATAAGAAGAGTATATTATATTTATTAATTCACACCAATTTACTCATCAAGAAGAAACGAATAAATGAAAATATAAACAAGAAACGAGGACCTTCTCACTTCTCTGGGACTTATATCTGGCAATGTAGCTTTTAGATTCGCCGTAACCTTGCGCGTTTTGTACCATGGTTGAGGTGACGTTTTTAATTTTGATAAACGATTTACTATCGGCTCGGTTGTCTTGGTGTCTGTGCTACTTGATCTTTCTTTGTAGTCCCCTCTTTTTAAAACTTCAACAACACCATCGTTTTTAACGCGATCATATTGCACAGTCATTGTTACAAATATATTAAATGTTTAGCAGCCATGTGACTAAAAACAAATGCAATGCTTCTTTTTTGTTTTATTGTCATACGTAAGGGATAAGGAATTTTACTTCTTGTCTATCATTGAAATTTGTTTATATATTTATAAATTCGCGCCTATGAATGGTAACGCTACTGACGGTTTTAATACCAGTGGCGCCATCGGTGAGAAAATGTCCAGGCTAGTAATCAATATAGTTCCAACAATTTCTATAAGATGGCGCCAAAAATATTAATTAATACATTATTATATTTTCTCGATAAATGCATGATTGTTACGATTCCTTGCTTCATAACGATAGAATATACTACTTTCATATATCATTTAAATATTTCCCGGCTTCCATACATTTTCCTTTAAATTCCCAACATTTTCTGTGATATATTCCTTTAACATGCCTTCATTCCCTGGCACATTTCCCTTTAATTTCCCTCTATTTTCCAAAACATTTCCCTTAATTTCCCTCTACTATTTTCCTGGAACATTTCCCTTTAATTTCCCCCTATTTTCCCGGAACATTTCCCTTTAATTTTCCGCTATTGTCTGATACATTTCCCTTTACTTTCCCTCTATTTTCCCGAACATTTCCCTTTAATTTTCCTCTATTGTCTGGTACATTTCCCTT